TGGCGATTGTTCCAATACCATCCTACAGTCACCAAACTTATTATCGATCATTATGGATCGCTTTGAGCCAAAAAGGACACAAAGTCGTCCTTATAACAACAGATCCGATCAATGATCCTAGTTTAACCAATTTGACAGAAATCAACTTCCAATCTAACTACCAGATAATGAAATTAAATTTCGCCAAAAACATTATAGCGGGGACTCATGCGTGGTTAAGTACATCACGCACACAAATATGGCCTTTGAGTGGAGATACAGCAGAAAACATTTTTAAGCATCCAAAAGTACGTAAGATGTATGCACCGGATAGTGATGAAAAATTCGACTTAGTAATTGTAGAAACTGTAAAAGTACCTAGCTTCTATGCCTTGGCGCATAGATTTAATGCACCTCTCATAGGTAAGAATAATGATATATATGAAATTATTTTACAAATGTTTCATTTAAAATTCATTGTATATATTAACGAAAACATTGAAAAAAGCCATAAATTATTTCAATTTAAAAATTTTTAATATCCTGTACCTTCGTACACTTATTAAACCCCATATTACTTTACATATTTATATTCTATTTAAATAAGTTTTACGTCCATAAAATTAGTTAAAAAATATAATGTCATTATCCACATAGTTTAATGTCAAAATATTTCTTATTCTCTTTGCATCATTATATAATCCAAAGAAACATAAAAGTTATATAAAATATAAACGTGAAAGTTAGCCTGATTATTTTTCATGTATCTTGACATGTGCGTTTATAACAATATTATTTACACAATTTTCTAAACTCAAATTTTGTTTAAATTAGTCACGTTTACACAACTTATTCTATATTTATTTACAGGTGTGTCATCATTTGGATTGCGTAATACACTTTATTATCTACTTGGTGCACCTGTTCTGTCATCACATCCTTCGAATTGGGAAATGGGAGATGACACCGGTTTAAATCTGTCATTGTGGCGGAGGATAAAAAATTTTATTCGTCAGTGGTATCACATATATTGCTCAATAAATTATTTTTACCCTAAACAGCAAGCGATAGCAGAAAAATATCTCGGAAAAAATATACCAGACATAAGAGATATGGAAAGAAACATGAGTCTTGTTTTTCACGGTCAACAAGAAGCTCTCTCGTTTGTTAAACCAACAATGCCTAATATTGGAGTACTTGGAAATTTTCATATTTCAAAAAAACCCGCGGCTTTATCGAAGGTAATCATTGCTTTCAAACGTTTCAAACTATGTATATTCTTAAAAATTTATTGTTTAAAAAATTATACATTTTATTTGCTTTATATTTAAAATCAATTACCATATGTACAATATATTTTTTCTTCTCAAATATAGTATAAGAATTGAATAATTATTTCAGGACTTGAAAGAATTTTTAGCAGATGCACCGAATGGATTTATCTATATGAGTCTAGGCACAAATGTCATAATATCAATCTTTCCAGAGCATATACAAAACGCATTTCGAGATGTATTTGCAAGTTTGCCATACAAAGTTGTATGGAAATATGACAGCGAATTGCCAAATAAACCTGACAATATCTATACCGCTAAATGGATTCCTCAACAGAGCATTCTCGGTAAATATATAGTGCCATAATTTAATCAGATTAATAAAAATATATGTTTATACGTATCTCTTCATTAGCCATTTCGCTCCATTTTTCATTTTGCAGCTCATCCAAACATTAAATTATTCATATATCAAGGTGGACTTCAAAGTACAGGAGAAGCCGTTTATTATACAGTACCACTTTTAGGATTACCAATAGTAGCTGATCAGTATACTCAAGTTAACAAAATGGTATCTTTAGGAGTTGCGAAACGTTTAAA